GTGTAAATTTTATATTATTAATAGGACATCGTAAACCTGCGTTTATATCAATTTGAGGTGAGACCTTAAAGAATGAGTTTCGGCTGAGAAATATCTATCTTAGAGCCGCTGTACGTGCTGGAACGCGTGTCAGCCGATCACCTCTCGAGGATATCGCGTCGGGCAACACGAATTACTATTAATCTCGCTTTTGAACCGTGCTATTACGCGATTAATGCGTTACGAGCGGAATGCATAATTTCAGAGAATGGTTCGACAGGTACGATCACGCTTTGCTATATAGCATACACGTACGAAAAGAGACGGAGAAAGCCGTAATGTATAATATTACAACATATTAGCGTAATATAGCGTAATTAACGTTGGCTACNACGTGATGTCAGTTCTTTTTTTTTTCGATTTCTTTTAATGTCGTAACCCTGCCAAATACAATAATATAGTAGCAATAGTAGTAATTATAATAAGAATCGTAATAATGATAATGATAATAAGTATTATCTAAAATATGTAACCAACGTCTCTCGATAGTGTGGTTACCGAGACAGGTGCGTGGTGCTGTACCACACACAGGACGAAACACGGCATGCCATGTGTATGTACATCACACGTCGCTGCGGACGCGCTGCTCGATGGCGCGTCGTATTTGCTCTCGAGTGAATCACGTCGATCGTCGCGACCGTCGGTACCGCCCGGATTATCTCACGATATAAGATTCACTTCCGTGGATAGGAATTGCAGGTTATCGTAGTCCACACAATCCTCGGCCTCCTCTGTGCCCAGCCGAAATATACCTTCTTTTTTCTTCTTTTTTTTTTCTTTTTTTTCCCCCTTTAGGACTTTCCCGTACAAAAACGTCGCTGGACGCGTTTACGATAATGTCGTATATAAATATATATATATGTAATATATATATATGTATATAATTTCGTGCGCGTATAATATATATTTCGCTATTAATCTTCCCGCGGAATACGATAATTATACATTCTCTCATATTCTTTTTTTTTTCTTTCGCTGCAATAAATAAATTATCCAAATAAAGGACATCGATATCGATAACAGTAATATGATTACAACCACATTTACAATATATCTATATTCTCGTCTCTCTCTCTCTCTCTCTCTCTCTCTCTCTCTCTCTCTCTTTTCTTCTTTCTATATGTATATATATCTTTTTTTTTTTTTTTCAATTAATGTACTAACAAACTTTTCCCTGGGCGCGGTACGATAGGGACCGCCCTCACAAGCGCCGCGTGGTACAATAGAAAATACCAAGTTAGCATGTAACGCCTTCGTTTATACAATGTGTTTTGTGTGTATGTGTGTGTGTGTGTGTATGTGTGTGTGTGTGTATGTGTGTGATTCATATATTATTATTATTATTATTATTATTATTATTATTGATCTACGTGTTCCTACGCAACATATACAATTACGCTTAAAAGATAATAGTTAGTGGCGCGCAACTGTCTCGCCCTTCATCCAAATTCCAGCAGCTCGCTATTGCTCGCCGTCGTAATCGAGTCGTCGAACAAAAGTCCCCGAGAATGCGATATTCACGCTCGCGAGAAAATTCCGTCGGAACATATCTGTCTGAGGATGATCGAGAGGAAAGAAGTTCGCCGCAACTTTTCGAAACGTCGCTGCCTGCGATCCTCGTGATCAACGACGAAGACCCAATTCGCAGCCAAGTTATTCGTCACGGAAAAGTTTGCAAACGCGGTATCGTGACGCGATCCGATCTCAGGTTGATTCAGAACACGAAGCCGCCGCGCGCTGAAGTTTGCAATTCAGGCTGCGCTGCGCGCACCGCAGTATATATATATATATATTTATATATATATATTTATATATATATATTTATATATATATATATATTTATATATATAAATCCGTGCGAGATCCGAGAGAGAATTACTGGCCCCCATTGATTACATTATCCAAGTAGAATTACGCTAATCCCTAGTTCGCCGATCGGCCGGCCGACCGCCGGGCCGATCGTCAAACACGATGCAGAACTTTACACGCTATGTACAGTTAATTATTGCTCCTTCTATGTTGCTACCTTACGAACTAATAGTTCCGTTCGTTAAATTCACCGTGAATGTCCGCCGCGCGTCCGAGCCCGCGCGTATACGCGCGCTCGTGACTTGCCGTGAGACGATTACGCGATTATCGCGATTTGCACCTCTTAGCACCGCGAAACACACGTGCGCGCGCGTGCGGTGTGTGAAGTGAAGAGGAAAACGAATAAATAAATGGAAATATATCTGCTTTGTAGGATCAAACGGTATAACGTACGTTCCCGACTCGAAACGTTTGATGTTACCCTGACATTCTTAAAGATAGCTCGCGCCTACTTAGGTTGCCTATGGATTAATGAAAACTTACTTTGATGATATATCGACACTTTTTTTCCACTTCTCTCTTGAACCTTTCATTCTACAGACCGAATTTTCACGCCACCCTCAATAAACTATTTCGATGATGAAACAACGGATACGGAAATTTAAGAACATCATCGGGGCATCAAAGTGGGGGTTATAATATATCATAAGAATTGAGAATAAACCTATTTTGCTGTCTTGGCTCCTGTTATGCTGTAGAATTAAAGGTTTAACGCAAGGCCGGAATTTCGACTCGGGAGATCGCCTCATGACACGTATGCCGCGATATTCCGGCATATCCGGCGGAAAGGAATCGGAATTCGAAGAAACGTCCGAGCGGGAATTCGATCTTTCAGAGAACCGGAGGAAAAGAAAGGAAACGAAAAAAAGAAATGGATTAGACGAGTCGTAAGAAACGCTTGACGTAAAATTACGCGGTCTCATTAGTGTAAATTAACGCTAGAAGTGCCTCTCTCTCTCTCTCTCTCTCTCTCGTCATCAGGTAGAAATAACTGACGCGAGATCAAGCGAGTTGTGAAACCGTGATTCGGTCTCTCTCGTTCCGGCATCTTCCCGACACCATTGCGTATCGACGCGGATTTTTCAACGAAGGAATACGAAGGAGCGCCGAATTATGCGCACGCGATCACCGACGCGATCGAGAGAGAGAGAGAGAGAGAGAGAGAAATGTGCAACGGACGCACATCTTCGCAGAGACAGGCTGCAAAGAAAATCAGACGATGCTTTCCCATCGAGGCTGAAGGACGATAAAAAGAAGAAAAGATACAGCCAACTGTTTCGTTACGANTGAAGTGACGCCCCCCCCCCCCCCGCACCCGCTTAGCGTTCTCGATACGCTCGCGATCCTTACACCGCAGATCCAAGCGTGCAGTTTTACATACTTATGTGTATAAAATCACGTAGTCACACTTTTTATGCGTATTACCACTATTTGTGTTTGCACATATGAGTGTGTAAAAATTACACATTTGGATCTGCAGCGTGTAGACCTGTTCGTTTTAGCTGAACCAGTGTTGCACCGGAACTTCCCCTCCTTTTTTCCTCACCTTTAGGTTTTACGTACTTGTTTCACTCCGAGGTGCAATCTAGTTCGGTTAAAACGTAAGAACGGAACTTCTCGTTGCGTATGAGTTACAAGCAAGATATATCGGGAGGCTGGAACCGCGAAAAGTGAATAAACCGCGAAACCTCCAAACCGATCAGACAGCCGACTTACCTCTTCATCTCTCTCTCTCTCTTTCTCTCCCTCCCCCTCTCTTTCTAAGATAATGTGCCCAATTACGACGACAACGAAAGTCAAGCCCGGGCCTTCAGGGTAAAACGTAACTTTCTCTCCTCGAAACAACTCATATTTCTCCATGGAAAACGCGCGGAACGCAGCGAGCGTGTGATATAACACGAGGATATTCTTCCCGCATCACACCGAACCGCCGATGTGATTTTTCACTCCTCGCTCTCCCTTCGAAACGGAGCCCCGAATCTCGCCGAGGCTCGCCGTGGAAATGGAATAAAAATCGGTGATGAAATGAAATCTAAATCTCGTGCACTCCGGAATACATCGCTGTCTCGAGGTTACGGGAACACACGGTGAGTGAAGCATCGCCGAAGCTCGCTCGATCGATGCTCGGACCGAGGCTCTCCTAGACGCGCGTGTCGCACATGCAAATGGCCGGGTATATCCGTTTCGCGTCATCTCCGACCGCGAGGCGTGCCAAATATAAATGACGCGTGTCCGCGCGAGAGCCCGACGACTCGAGCGGCGATTTCGAGCTGCCGGCTGCGTAACCTCGATTAGTCGGCTGTCAGTTGACGTCTGTTAAGGCACTTGAAATGCTAATTCCCTTAGGCGGGGCGCACCGTCGAAGAAAATTCAGTTGAAACTCGCTTTATACCTACTTTCCACGTCCATTCATGGCTCCGCTGCCTTCTTCTCTACGGGAAACTGAATAGCCGTGCATTTACATGAGAAATAAGCGCCGATATATATATATATATATAAAGAAAAAAAAGGAGAGAGGGAGGGAGGGAGGAACACACTAAAATGCGCGTAAAGTGCCGCATCTTCTTCGAGCTCCACGTACCGACGAGAGAGAAGACGGGNGTGTACCTCTCAGGGGGGGGGGGGGATTTGGATGTGAAGCCACCGTGATCGGCTTTCTTATTCCGGCGGAATATCGAAATCCCCATCGACGATGCGACGCGCGAAGGATCAGCCGCGTCGTAAATTTTCGCCGCGCTAATTGCAGCGGGAATGTCCGGGTAACGCGCACGTTTTATCCCCTCGTAAAGGACGGCAGTTAACATATACACAATAGAGCTCTACCCTACTTACGGCACTTCCCCGCGCGTCTTAAGTCTATGAACATTGATGACCGTCGTCGCGTACTCGTGCGTGTCGCGCGAATACATATAAAAACATCTTCGATAAATTCAATCTCTTTCTTTCTTTCTCTCTCTCTCTCTCTCTCTTTCTTTCTTTCTCTCTACCTATCTAATCGTTAGATACAGAAAGTGTAAGTGTGAGCGAGTGAGCAAGTATTCTCGTGGAAAGAACGTTACACGCGCGTCCATCGAACGGGTTCTTCTCCCCCCCCCCGCCTCTCTTTTTCTTTTCTACCGCGTTAAATGTATAGTGTATAAGTGATATTTTTATATACAATAGCTCTGTAACCGCTAATATTCGCCGAAAGCGCGGGAGTTCTCTCTAAATCTTGAAAGACGTTCGTCGCGGCGCAGACGAGAAGGGTTTTCCGAGAAAGGGGAAAACGCTCGACGATGAAAACGACGGCGGTTCGCGTGCAGAATCGCGTATAAATTCGTCACTATCACATACTCATTTCGTTTTATTGACAGCATGCTCTCGACGCAGCGTGCTTCTTTAGTTCTACATATTACATATGAATTAGAAATTAGAAATTTAGCCTATACAGAGGGGGGGGGGGAGGACGAATTAAATATAAATTTATATATTACGACACGCACAATTGTAAATTCTTGTGTCGTGCACGCTTACGCTATCGATCGTAAAATTCATAGTCGAATTAGATAACTTCAATATTGAGCGGTAATCTCGCCGAGAGATTACGAAGAACAAAGCCTCGACCGTCCAAATCCTCAACAGCCTAATGCTCGAGGTGTTCCGTTATTAACGCTTCTGAACATTTCTCGAGAGGGATTTGAGTATTCCGATAGAACGAAATGTGAATTAACACGTGAACGACACTCGACTTTTGTGCGAAATGACCGTCTAAGTTCTGCGATAATAGCCGTTACTTGAAACCCGCCTCAAGAATCTGAGATACTCAGATTTCAATTCAGAATTATAGATCCGAATTTCTCAATTGAATGGTATTTAAATAGACAGATACGAGGTCAAATATAGGTCATACGATTCAACTGAAATACTCAGGTCTAACATGGAAGAATTCAAATTCGAGTGTCTCATACGAAGCGAGTTTTACGTGACAACTATTGATGCGGACTTGGGTGAAACGGGTGTAAACGACAAGACGATGACGATGACAGGCACATATCAACTATGTGCTTCATGCTTGATGCGCGTCGATATAGATTTTTCGGACGATCCCGCCAACGCCTCGAGCGTGTAAATCGACGAATTCTTGCGTTTGTTCCGAGGAAGAGGAAACCGTATGTTTTGTACCAAAAACGGGGATATGTCGACACCTCACGGTATCGGTCGATGCAATTCGCTCGAGTACCGTTCGAGTGGAGATGAGAATTAGAAACGCCGCAACATGTGCATTTTCGTAAATCGTCCTTTCGCTACGAGAGAGAGAGAGAGAGAGAGAGAGAGAGAAAAAGAGCGAGGTCTCTCGAGCGCGCGATGTATTGTTCCCGAACTGTCTCTCATTCTTCCTTCCTCTGTCCATCCGTCTCTCCTCTTTCTCCCTCCCTCTTATTATTGAAGCTTCGCGCGCACGTTTAGCGGAAACATTGTGCCGACGCGACGTCCGACTTGTAACTTCTGCGAAGGAAGATACCATGCGAAGCGCGCCGAACTGGTCCTCCGGGCGAGGATTCGAAGGATCGGATTATGAGAGAGATGTGTGTGTACAAGCACGAAGATTCGCGTGACTTAAGGCACTAACAGTATTACTTAAGGCCTATAACGCGTCTCCTCTCTTTCCTTAACATTAGAAGGCACTATTCCCTATTCCGAGATACAACACGTAACAAATGTTAATTTATCAACCCTCGCATTATTATTAATCATACGCGCATAGAAAGAGAGAGGTTTCTCTTTAATGATATAAACTGGCTCTAGCATATACTGGCATCTTGTTCCGTTCGTTTTCAACTAGCTTCGGTTAAAGTGTCCAAACTATTAGCTTTAGTCGTGGCTTTATGCAGCGGCGAAAACACGCCTCGAAGAGACAGGCTAACGCTGCGTCTGTCATCCACTCTCTCGCGGGGGGAGAGGATGGCTGTACGAGTATGTGTGTGTATTTATGTGTGTTTGTGATGCGTGTTTCAAAAGTTTTTTTAGAGATTATACATACACGATGTGTATGTGTGTGTGTGTGTGTGTGTGTGCGCGTGTATATTCCACTCTTTCTCTTTTGCGATACCAAGCGAGATAAGTCGCATTGAGATTTTCGTATCCCGCGCCCAACACCTGTCGACCGATGACATTACACACACAACATTGCACACACATACACACACACGCGCGGTCTCGGCGAGTTCGATGTTTAGAATATCTTCGCTAATTATCTTAAAATTGATAAATTTGTCACACGCACGCGTTGCTCACAACAAAGCGCGCAGACGTACGTTCGACGTACGACCGATCAATTCTGGCATCGCTTTCCTTCCTTCTCCGGAGCAAATCTTCAGCTAAGATATAAATGGAGGAAGAAGGAAATCTCGTCGGAAGTGAGCCGCTCGCGTACGTTAATCTAATTAACGCGTTGCTAATGAGAATCAATAAATATGAGAATCACGCTCTCATATCGGCAATCCCGAAATCGGCCGGTCCGACGTGTCAAAGGCGTCCTGAGGGGGGATTACGAATCGGGTGCTTCTAATCGGGAAATCGCGAAGAACGAAGAGACCAACGGAGCGAATCGTTCCCCCGAGAACGGGAGACGTTTGAGCGTGTATATTACCTCGTCCCCCGTGGATTCTTACGTTGATCCCGTGTCGAGTAGCCTCCCTCCAGGTTACCCCGATACGTAGGACGCTGCGTGGTAGCACCGTCGTCACCGTCGTTGTCGTCGTCGCGTCGGACACGACACGATTCGTTCGGGATCGAAAATCTCAAGGCGCGCGATAGAAGAAGGGATAATAATTTATCAGCTCGATTATGCGCTCGCTTTCCCGTAAAAGCGAGGCGAAGTATTGAACGACATCGTCGCGATTGCACCTTCTACTTTGGCACCTTTACACGTGGGATCAAAAGTCGACGATGCGAAGTCGGACTCGCGATCGAGAGAAAGGGAAAGCGCGCGACCTTCGCGACTAACCCGGGGGATTTCGATGAGCGACGAGCCCGTACACGACTCGTGGGTCGCAACGTCGCACGATGACGTCTCGCCGATGACGTATTGCTTCTTTATACTTGCACTGGTAATACTGGCTCTCGGGATGTCGAAGAAAGAAAACGTGTGTTCAATAACAAACCCCCCTCCCCCGCCGCTCCATCAGCACGTTAACGAAAGGTCGATGATTGTCCGTCCCTAAACGCGAAATTCTTTGTGCATAATCGAAAGATCGCTATATATATATAATATATATGCTTCACGATAGTGTGCCTACGATCACGATTGTAGTTTATTTAACTGAGCATGCTAAGTCCCAAGCTCCGTCACCGGAGTTCGATATTAACTCTTTAATTTACATCCTAGTCCGTTTATAATTGCCTTAATGTCGATTAATTCATTTACTGGCTCTATTCCTTCACGATGTATCCTCGATATATGATGCTCTAGACTAGTTGAGCTGGACTTACTTAAACGTACAAAAAGAAAGAAGAAATAGTAGAAGAAGAAGGAGAAGATGANGGGGGGGGGGGGAGGGGAACGAAACTGAAGAATCGAACAGGGTAGAAATTGGCTAGAAACAGAAGAGTACAAGATTACGCGAGTGTGACGACACACACACGCGCGCGTTACGATCTCGATGCCGCGCGAAACAAGCGCGGATCTTCCCGGCCGGGAAGCCGCGGAGCGACGAACGACGCGCGCGCGCCTCCTGTCGGAATCGCCGAGCGAGAACAATCACCACCTCTTCGACGCTCTCTCGCGGATTCATCGATCCGACCTGTCACGGCCTTTGTCGTCCTTGTCGTCAGGCAGGACGACATCGCGCCATCGCCCGCGATGCGACCGGAGAGACAACTCGAAAGTTGAAAGGAGTCCCTCTCTCTCTTTCGCGCGCGCGCGCGAAAGAGAGACACAGCAGTGAGAGAATCGCGCGTGCGATCGCTCTAGACCGTTCTCGAGCTCGACCGCCGACTCGATCGCTCGGCTCGCGATTAAGCGCTAAAAACTAACGAACGAGAATTGCTTTATTAACTTCGTCGATCTATTATACTTCTCTTTTCCCTAGTTACTGACCGCCCGGCCGGCCGGTGCGCGAGAGACCGCGCGGGCCGGCTCGCGGCGCGGCTCTTCAGGTCCCAAATGTAAGAAAATATCATCGTCGTCCGTCTCTCGTCTAGGATCACTCGGGATCAGGACCGATTGCCGAGGACCGCTCCTCCCTTTCGTTCCGTCGCGCGGCGGCGGCAGCGGTTAAACGGCCCTCTCTCTCTTCCTCCGCCTCCTCCTCCTCTCTTCATCAGTGCCTCTTCATGTGCAGCGACAGGTGATCGCTTCGCGAAAACGATCGCTGACAGAGATGGCACTTGAACGGCTTTTGGCCCGTGTGCTTGCGATAGTGCCGCGTTAGCTCGTCCGACCGTGCGAACTTCCACGTGCAGCCCTCCCACGTGCACTGATACGGTTTCTCGCCTGTAACAGATCGATCAGAAAGCACGGATTAGTACGATGTCGCGCGAGTCCCTCGCCCACGCACTGCGGTGCGCTCCGAGAAAAATCTACTTATTTTCGGGGGGGCAACGATGTCCTTTTCTCATCTTAACCACAAACATAGTAGCAGCAACGTGCACACAGTGTTGTCGTCACTAACGCTATAATAAAACTTACTAGAAAAATAGTTCCCTCGATTACTTGTGCGGTCAAAAGCGTTGAGGTAAACAATCTGTGTAATAGTTAGCGTTGTCTATCATAATGATTTTGCCTTCGCTAAACCTCTGTTATTACGATCTACTTGCTAAATCACGGCGAAGGCACTAGATTCTGAAGCCTGGGGAAGTCGTGTAACGAAAACAATGAGCTGGCGAGAACGTCCGTCGGGACTTCGTCGCCAATACTCAGCCGCAGCTCGTGTGCTCGTCTAATGTCCACACTCGTAGAAAAGGTAGGAGCTAGAATCTAGTTACGGCAGCTGAAACTAGGAACAGCTCGTATCGTTGCTACCGCAAGCTAAATTTATTATCTGCGGTAGCATCAGCAGTCCCCGTTTCAAAGACACATTTTAGCTACCGCGGCTAAAGCAGATTTAGCTCCTACGGCTAATCCTTTTTGCGGAGTGTACGGATTTCGCGACGGCGTCTCAGAGGAAATCCGTCGAGCGAAAAGGGAAGCGAGGCCGAAGGGAGCGAGGAGGGTGGGAAGGAATCGGCTTCTTCGTGCGGTCCGGATGCATTATGGAAACGGCTGGAACATCGAGGCCGATGTGACGTAATCGCCATCAAGTTCAGCTTCGTGCGGGACGAAGACGGAATCGAACGGCGAATCGAGCGTTACGATCAGGTGGCCGGCTCGCGATCCCATTAACCGCACCGGATAATGGTCGGGCACTCGGAGAGGACGACGGCTCTTCGTCCGACGACGGAGGCGACGACGTGCCGTCTCTAAGTCCGATCTCGTGGAAACCGCCGTGAGGTTTGATCGATATATTTACGGGGATGCCCCGGCGACGACGGGCGCAGAGAGGGCAGACCGGCCCCGCAGGTCGTAAGTCAGAGCGGGTCAAGACACGAGGAGTGTTATTACCGGCGGGGGGATTGGGCGGAGTGGCGGGATCCACGCTTGATCCTTAATTCGGTATTTGCCCTTGCAAATGGCCGGTGTTAAGCCACGGACGGGACAATTATCGCGGGGCGTGAGCCCGTCGATTCGCCCCGCGAGACGAGCCCTGGCGTACGCACATTTATTATTACGCATTAGGGACGATTAATCTTTATAAATTGGACGCTTTAATTACCGCGTGCCTCGCGGGGAAATCGCGATCCGAGATCGTCTTTACCAGCCGATCACCGCCCGGGGCTTTCTCTCCTCAGAGATCTCGGATTTCTTTCTTACTCTTCCTGTCGAAGAATCGTCTGTGTTCGTCCAGATACTGGAGACTGGCGGAGTACTCGATTCGGTACTGAAATACGGATTTTCACGGTATCATCGATGCTTTTAATAAGGAGGCAGGAGATGTCACTATTTACTCGATCCCGGTAAAACATTTCACAAGTAAATAATCCAAGTAAAATATTTACCTGATGCAAATATAATTCGCTTAGTCCTAGTAGAAATGTGCTAATAAGTATTGGAGTAATTATTTACTTGAATCTGGGCACTTTTCCTCTTTTCCTGCGCAGTCAGCATTTACTTCTTACTTGAATCGAAGTACAGTCGGTCACAGGACGGTTGCAACAGTTCTTCCCTCACATGTTTCGGAACACGCAAGAAAAAAAAAACAAATACGACGAAGCGAACCTGTGATTTACGAACGTGCGCAGTAGATAGTCAGACAGCTGTCAAAATTACATGCGCACATGTAACTTTGACACGCGCATATCTAATTTAGACGATTGTCTGACCATTTATCGCGCACGTTTGCGAATCACATGTTCACTTCGTCTCATATTTTTCGCGTGTTCTGAAGTATGTGAGAAAGAAAAAGCTAGTCCGCAACCGTTCTGTGATCCGACTGTACATTTCTGACGCGGTGTGTACCTGATTTTTTTTCCTCGACTTCACGCTGTCAGATAAGCAACCGAGGTATAACTGTAACGCCGTCTCGAGAGGTTTCGTTAGTTAAGTTTCATAAAGATAAAGATAAAGATAAACCTTATATCCCACAAGTATATTTTCAAGCACTTCTTTTTCCCCCGTGAAGACGAAGTAATTAGAGAGAGGAGAGATAAATTTAAGAGGAGGAGATCTCATCCGCGGGCGATTGTTCTACCGTCCGAGCGACGAAGACAACGACGCGGGTTGGACGCGCGGAATCTCGGAAAACGCATATCGCGTCGTTACCGCGTGGGCGTTTCACAGTTAACGTCGCATTGTCCGTAACGACCGTGGTAGCAGAATCGCGCGCGCTAGAGAGAGAGAGAGAGAGAGGGAAAGGAAAAGCAAAAAAAAAAGAATCGCTCGGAATATTAACGTCATCTTTTTGACAGTAACCGCGGGGCTAATTACCGAACGGTAATTAACGAGGCGGCAGGCTCGCGCGTTCCTGAAAGCCGGTGTAATTAGACGCGCGATGCGGCATCGGGGGAGGGACGTCGGGTTGCTTCCTCGCTCCTCTCGATCCGCTCGAGATCGAGGTTGGAAAGGATCGAGCTCTCGATGCCGCGGAGCCGAATGATCGAAGGCATCCACCGCTCACCGGCGGATCTAAATCGACCGTTTTAACGTCCCGACTTCGCCCGACATCGGGCGAATATTATTGCGCAATGCGCGGCGATACCTACACGTGCACGACGTGTAATGACGAAGAAGGTGTGCGCGGGCGCTTGCGTAATCACGAGTAATTAGTCCATTTACGAGGCGGCCGCGCGAGCGTACGTAATCTCGGTACGACGGGCGCAACCCGGGGAAAGCGTCGCATTAGTTGCCTCGTTATTAATGCATCTCGATCGCATTTTTCGCGCGAGAGAACCCGTGGCGTTTATTGCGCCGTAGATTAACGTCGCGTTATCCCACCCCCGGCGGGATCATCGGTCCGTAACGCGTCGCTCTCGCGAGAGAGAGAGAGAGGGGGAGGTGCGCGTCTAGACGGGAGAAAAATTGTGTCGATAGAATTGAAACGAAAACGCCACAATTGAAGGAGACCTTCTTGATTCATCAGCAGAATGATTCGTACAGCGGAGAATCGCTTGTTGTTTATCGGAAGCGTTTCGTATCGAGCGAGAGGAGCGACGTTCGCGGGAAAGAGACGCAGCGACGGCGAGTCGCGACTAACGAGAACAATGCGGGAGCGTGCTCGCCGGGGAATCGTTAACCCGGCGAGCAGGTAATCGCAGCCTTCGGCATTGGTGCATAAGCGCATATTGTTAATAACAGGTCTGTCGTCGGGCGCGCGGTCGCTCGCGGAAAGAGATCCACAAAGCGGCGATGCCGGCCGATCATCGGCGTATCGGCTCGATACGATACCGGGAACCGATCGGCCGTCGTCGTTGACTGGCTTGCGCCAAGGCTAATTCGCCTTAATTAATACGCGAGATCTCACCAAACCTCCGTCCGTCTATCAACGGTCACGCCAGCCGGCTGACATCGCGTCTATACGCCGATAGTTGCGCGCGCGCGCAGTGATTCTCAGCGGCCGCGATATTTCTTCCGGTCTTGTCTTCTTGTTTTCCTCCACCGTCGCGTGTTCTCCCCTCATGCGCAGGGTTGAGTTAATTTGCGTGTCTCGAGTTGAGTTAAAAATTCACGAGCCGTGGAAATTTAATTGTGAAATTTTCGCGTGAAATTTCGGAAACGACGGCAACGATCGCGTGAAGACGAAATAATTGCTCTCGTCCAATTCACAATTTTACCACTAATCTAAATCAAAGCTTTCGAGCAACAAGCGCGGAATACGTTGCAGCGCGCGTGAAGCATCGCCGCTCGTGAAGGACGTTGTTCGGGCGTGTTTCGCGCGCGCGTTTCCCACGCGCGTATCGCTTACGGTAATCGCGCCCGTAGTCAATTGCAAATAAACCTAAATTCAAATCGTTTCTATTTAATTGCGCCTCGTTAAGGGTCTTACGTCTGAATCAAAATCGTGACTCGCGGAAAGCTCNGGGGGGGGGGGGGGCGAGCGGAGTTACGAGGTTTTGAAAGAAGCGCACAGCCCCGGCAGTCGTTTCGCGCGCGCGCGCGCGGGGAATCGGCCCGAGGGAAATAATGCGATAATTAGAGATACCCGGTAGATACACATGTTGCCTAGCGATTTCTCACAAGTTAGATAAAGAATTTCATGTGTACGTTAATGGGCGTAGGAAACATCTCTCACCGTATATGATCGTGCAAGGGCGATTTACCGTGCGCGGCTCATAATGAGCTATGATTCTCTACCTGTAATGCAACTCTCGTTACACGCAACAACGGCAACGTGCATCACGTGAGCCCGCACGCTCCTCTCCCGTCGTGAATATTAGAAGTGGCATTAGACCGTCTTATTGTTCCGTTATACGTCGTCAATGAGCCGCGTAATGTTGAATAACGTCCGTCACGATCTCTCGCGGGAGCAATTAATATCGCCGATTGCGCTTTACCGCCCCGACCCGCGATGCGCTTTTCACGTTGTTCCCCGTTAAACGCTAATTAACGTGACAACTGAATTTGTGTATCGCGATACACGGATAAAACTATTCTTTTGGTGCAGTGAAAAAATTGTGTTGAAATGTGTTAAAAAGTACACAAATATAATAAATGTAATGCTGATAAGGTGAATGTATCAATTTAACATTATATCTGTGTATTTTTCAGCACGTTCCTCATGTTAAAATAACACACAAAATTTCAGTGGATGGTTTTTAACGTGAAATTTTTATCGTGTATATGAGAATATGAGTATTGAATTTTTTTATATACGAAATCAAATAAAGTCTTAATTTAAAATTGAAAGAGATGCACAGAGCAAATGTGTAATTATCGAATATAAAAGTCTGTATTTTCGAAACCAAAACGTTGCTATCGAAAAATCTGAGCGCTTCATCTCGGTAAAAGCAGCAACGAAAGATATCATAAAACACTCGAAACAGCATCTTGTATCTCGAAGTCCGTGAAGTCCAGTTCGCTTCGAGATCATTCGTCGAGAATTCATTGCCGATTCAAGGTAATTTCAACCGAGCGTGGCACGTTGGAGACTTCGCGAAACACCGCTTCGCTCGTTTCCCGACAACGTGGATTTTTCCGTTACCACGTCTCGAACTTCGGTTGCACAAAGCTCTCCGCAGTCACGAGTGGTGGTGGAGCGAATTAGCAGGCCCGTCGAGCCTCCTCGAACTGGGACAATTTTACGGTCGCTCCTGTGCCGTTGGCTTCGCAACGACCGTCATGATCGCGCGATTTACGAACGAGTTACGCCCGTAGAATCGTTGAAATGACGGTAATCAATGAATTGGCATTTCCCACATTCAGGGTACACCGGCCGGTATCCGCGTCTCCGTTGAGGATATCTCGATGGCCGCATAATGCCGCGGCGTTAGAATGATGGATGGGCGGCGGCGACGGTTCGCCGCTACGAGCTGAAGCCGTTGCGCGGTCGTTGAAACAATTATTAGCCGAGCCGAAGCGCGTACGACATTACAAACGGCACGGGCTGTATGTCAAGAGCTGGCCTTTCGTGTACCAGCCGGGCCCGATCACCGGCGGAGCTATGGATTTCGTAAAACCGTCCACCATAATGGCGTCCTAATGCGCGAAGCATGTTCCGCGATCTTTGCGAGCCCCTCTCCCCTAGTGGAAACTAAAGCATCGAGCGGAAACGAAAGCGGTAGGAAGGTGGCAATAGCGTGAATTTCCCGAAAGCGAAAACAGGAAACACAAAATGACGCCTGAGAGAAAAAGTATCTAAAAAAACGGACAATATTTTCTCGATAAGCACCAATAACATATTTACTTACAGCCAGGGTTGGGTGAATTACCATATCTTTAACTAAAATTTTTAACTGTTTTTCACTTCGGTTCAAAGTTGAGGGCCTGTAAAATTAACTTAGTTAAGTTAAAAGTTGCCTAATCGGGAAACTATATGATAACAAATCATATCGTTATTTAATAATATAAATAATATATTAATTTAATTTAATTAAATTTAAATGTTAATCGTGCAAAAGTGTGTTCATATATGTATGTTTTTTGTATAAACAACCTTTTTAATCATGGATTAAAGTTTTGAAAAGATGATTTATTGTAAGAAACGCTGTATTGTACGCAGAATTACGTATGAAAGAAAAGTCACGTCCTGTTGATAAAAACCGTCCCCCTGTATCCGCGTCGAGATATCTGAAAGGCGCGCGCGTAACTGAAAGACCGAGCGAAGACGAGAAGAGACTCCCTGCGGGAGGACGATCCTCTCCTCGGCTCCCGCGAGAGTTGAGCACCGCGGACGCGCCGCGTCTCTCTCAGTTGAACCATGGACCAGACAAAAGATCCTGGTTCTCACGACCACGCCCTCTCCCCGCCGTTTCTAGCCTCTCTAGACGGCGGCGATGCCTTCACGAAGGTGCCTATCCACCGGAAATTCCTGAAGCAGCCGCGCCGTGTATGCAGACGGTCAGGAACGGAACGGGCGCGACCTCCTCCGAGTTCTCGTGACGCGGTAATAAATGGCCGGGGTGTACCGCGCGAGGGCACCCTCGCCCGCGAAACGGGGAAAAAGTGCGAATTCCCGACGGGACGGACGGAGGCACCTCGACGGGGACGTCTCGGAACGGTATCGAATTTCCGCGCGGTCTCCACGCTCGTGAATGCACACACCGGCGTGTGAACGCCTGTGCGACCTCTGACCTCGGCGGGTCGCGCGCAGGAAAAGTCCCGGCGCCGCGCCGCGCCGACGCGCGTCCGCCGTTTATCCCGGTAGACGACGACGACGAGTCCGCCGCCGGTTGTCCGATGTGAAATCGCGAGGCGCGCCAGAGAAAGACGATCGAACGCTGCGTGGTAGCGTCGACGAGCGTCGGGACGCGACGGAATAACGGGATATGTTTGTCTACCACCACCGCCTTATTGTAAGGCTGTACAACTTCAGCCTCCCGGCGCGTATTTCACCGTCTCAACGGAAGTCAACGGTTAACGGGACAAAATAAACAGAGCTAATTCTATAACTAATTCATACTCAAAAAAGCCACTCTTTATTGACCCTCTGTTGATGAAAAAAAATATGTCAAATGCGTACGGAATCCGTTGGACCTTCTTGATCCCCGAGAGACGCGATTCAGATTCGTCATGAAGCAATTCCTCTAACAACGTAACGGAGGTTCTTCGTCCGATCGAGCGGAATCGCGCATGTCGCATGAAGGAACGATTGCCAAAAGCGCCTCTCCGTTCTAATCGGTCCATCGCCTCTCGAGTCGTCGACTCGTAAATCTCGCGGCGAGCGACTACCGGTTACCGGCGACCAATTTGAGCACCTCGTTCGAGAGGAACGCGCCGGCCTCGCTGTGCTCCCGTAGGTACTAAAGGAATGCCCGATGACTAATGATTTACCGCCGAGTACTTGACCCAGCTGGGCGACAGGTCGTTAACTACCGACTGTGCGTTCGAGTTAAACATTATTATTACACCGGCGTACGATCTCACGGTGATATTCGGCGAGTGGTCGTCGATTCGACGCGGAAAGTCGAGAACGACGATTCTACGCGCGAGATGAAATCCCTTCTTCTTCTTCGACACTGAGAGAAATTATAGTTATTCTCGACCTCGATCCTTTCTTCGATTTTAACCATAGACAACAGTAGTAATATGCGTGTAAAAGTTATTATTACTGGCAAAATATAGTAACACGTTCTAGAAAAATTAATTCTCCACTTCACTGACTACTCTGATTCTTTTTATTGAGATGTATATAGTTATGGTATTATAGTTACAAGCGCCAAACAAGTACCATTTTTTCACCAATGTATATGCTTTTAAAGAGTATAAAAATAAAATCAGTGATAATGTATTCGCGAAGGTGGAAGGGCCGGTGTTAAAATGACGAAGCGCGTGGTCGTTTCGACGATCGCTGACGCACACGCGTGAGTCACGATCACGTGCGTAACGATCGTCGACAATGTAGCCGCGTTTATTTCTCGAATCGATTGATTTATTCGATCTTGATTAGCTTCTCCAACTAAAGTTCCAATAAGTTACCCGTAACCTCTCCTGATCGTGTACGAATGGCGAGATTTATGACGCGACACGATACTATGTAATTTAACTAACTTTTCTCTTTTTTTCTCTCATTTTTACCGGCGCATTCGAGAGATGTAGAGATAACTTTCGTATGAACGAGTCTCTATGTTTCGCATGTTTTACGGAGAGATGCGTTTCCCACGATACACACGCGACCCGGATAGATGCAAGGAGCCATGCCTTACCCGTGGGGAAAACGTTCCTTTTTTTGGAAAGATCATAACTGGGCGAAAAATATGGGCGCTGAGAAAATAGGGCGAGAAGAAAATGCAACCGAGTTTTTTTAAGAGTCGGCATCAATCCGTTATTTCTAACTTCTCGTGTATTTTTCAATGTTCATATCAAATCGTAATTTCAACGGTTTTAAACGTCGGTACTTTCGTATGACCGCTCTCAATACAGGGTCTTCAATACTTTTAGATCGTGTAATCTTAGCGTCTAATAAAGAAATATTAATATTATTCATAATTTAACCTTTCTTCAGGAATACTTTTACAAAATTTTGTGGTCATTTTTACTGCAATATTTTCCCCTTCATGTACATCGTCGACAATGTTCAGATTGAAAAGGAAAAATCGAGCGTACCTAAACATATACACATATGTACATCAGTTTCCCTGTAAAGTTTTATAAAGCGGTGTACATAGAAGCCGTAGTGTTTCTTTTGATTAACTCACCGGTGTGGGTCCTTTTGTGCGCCTTGAGGTGCGAGCTCTTCGTGTAAACCTTGTCGCAGCCGGGTACATCGCATCTGTGAACTTTGCGTCTCTTCAACGCGTCGCCGCACTCGCTGTCGACACCCAAGCTACCGCCGTTGCCGCCAACCCCGGCGTTTCCTCTACCGCCCAGTCCGATGCCGGCCGCTAGCGCCGGGCGTTTGTGGAACACACTGTAATTAGACGGTTAAACCCCCCGTGAGCGGTTAAACGGCATGTTTGCATCGGACAAATACGAAAGAGATAATATCGCACGGTGTCAAGGAGCCATTTCGCACACTTAGAAAAAAATACATAGTCAGAACGAGAAAAGTGCGCGTTAACTATAAAAGTAAAAATTATGTGTTTCCCGCGTAGAATTAATACATATAGTTTAAGAAATTATTTTCAAGTCATTGCAGCTAGATCTGAGTGGCGATTCTTTCGATTTTCCGTCTGATTGGAGAGACGATTTAACATCGTTCGAAATGAGACGATTGAGCAGACGCGAAGGTAACGTCCCGTTGAAAGAAATCGAGAGCGACTTATAAAACGGCATAACGCGACACACAGCGAATTATGAAAGAGTCGAAGCCTGGGATCGTCTTTTTACGCCCGATTGCCGTCCGTTGCTCATAACTATACACCATGCACTCGTGATGACATTGATTACGACGGGGCACACGAGCGACAAGAAATTCGACGCTCGAGCTCGATACCAATCGCTGCCAATTTGAATCCTCATATGGAGGAGACATCTTCATCGGGTCACGTATCAATTCGATCGCGTGTCCCACGACAGATGATCTCTCACTCGCTTACTTTTCTTAGAACGAATACGATACTTTTCTTAACTGTTACTACACGAGTTATTAAGTGGTTTTTTATTTTACTTAGTTTCGATACTTCGGCTATTTGTTGGATCCGCATTCAACTTAATGCATTTTCTCTCGTCTTTAACTACGACTTTACTCTTCAGCCAATTAATTAACGGAATTATCTTTCTGACATCCAATTCTATGTAAACTCTATGTTACATAAATATCAACTACGACACACGCAATTTTCGTTAATAAAAAATACGCGACGTGATATTTTCGCATTCGATGAGCAAAATGAAGAATACTTTGTTAGCCACGACGCCTTCATGAATATATATTTGCTTCATTAAATAACGTTATTTTATCAAATGACGTCTTATTTGCGATGTAAAGTTATCAGAGTTCGGAGTGCTCTCTTATAGGTGCGCGAAAAACCGAACGATCCTGCGAAAGCGCAGCGTCGAGCGGTACCTGATCCGATCTCGACTGATCGATCGATCGGTGGAAACAAGAAAAGCGTATCGCCGGTCCGCCTCGATCAATCTCAACTTGACACACTGAATTCTGGCGGGGCTTGTTTTTCTGCGAAGCCCGTACGTGATATCGATATAGATCGACTCGCGTTTCTTAGTGCCTGCCGTATTAGTACCGGTCAATTTGACGTGGTGCAAAAATATTTGCGGATAAAGGCGGGACAAACGACGACGAGAGACGATCTGATTGCGTCGCGAGCGTTCAACGAAAGAGAGAATTTGGGGCGTAAGATTTAAGAAATTGACCAATTATAATTGATTTCTCTTCTGCAATTCGACTGTGATTGATCAATTTCCTAAGGCTTACAGCTTGAAGCATCTATTGCGATAGAATGGGTATGTCGATTTACCATACCTCGATGTCAGTTTCGGTATTTTTCCTCGACAATCTCGTCGTCGGCATAATGACTCGCGGGTTTACTTTGCTCCACGGCCGGCTTTATTCGTACCTTACATAAATTCGTCGGGGCATAAATAACGCGGCCGATACCGATCTACTACATCGTGGCAGCGTGGATCGCGAGGATTTTGAAGTCCGCTCGGCAAAACCGCGCGCCGGTATCCACCAACGCGTCCCCGGCCGCGTCGTATTTCATCGGAACACCGTGTGCGCGAGACCTCGTATTATTCGCGCAATAAACGCGGAACGAAACGGTTGTGCTCGACTGTACGGTGACGTAAATCCGTTCTGCAGTCGCGGTAATCCGGCTCGCGTCTCTGCCTTGATCCGTTCCTCATAAAGGAGAACCGAGGAGAGCGTCCGTCTCTGTTGCTCGTCCGTCGCGAATGTAAACGCCAGCAGCGAAAATCAGCTATTCTCCGCACTCCGGTACGAACTAACGACTATATCGCGCCCTTCCTCCCTCCCTCTCACTCTTCCTCTCTCTCTTTCTCGCGAACTTTTCCAACAACTGTGCCGCACACGTCACAGTCCGTTAACCTCGTGTTAGCGTACAGAAAATTACGTCGGCGAGCCACGTGGCGGAAGCGCGCGTGTATCGCGATGTATTTTATATGGAAAAAAAAAAAAAAGAACTTATCGGATCAACAAGTAAAAATAAACGTTCGCCAGTAACCGTCGCGGATACTTCGCGCTACCAATAAGTCCTAGCTTAGGAAAAAAAAAATAAAATAAAACGTGACAGGGTATGTTTGTGCGACGTCGCTCACGTGGTGGATATAGTACGAGTATAGCAAGGGTATAGCACGACTCGGGTTTAATAGAGAACGAGAGGGGGGGGGAGGGGGCAACTCGAAAACGAGCTGCTTCGGCGATGACATGATAGGAGAAATTAAAACCGCGAAGAAGCAACGTCGTCGTCGGTCATCGTAGATCCGACGGTCGGATGGATGAACGAGGGAAGAGCGACCGGGAAGTACATTTGTCGCCAGGCTGAGTCCGTTGCGGATCCGCCGCAGGAGATGCGCGCTGACATGTGGGTATCCGTACCCGCGTGAAGGTGCTCGTGTTCGCTCGATTGCGGACTCGCGTAGCACACGCAGAGAGATAGAAACGCGTGCGGGAGAGCAAGCGGGGGAGACCAGTTTAAAATTCATATCAGACGCGCTTCCCGGCCTAATTCCCAGTCCGTCGTACATCCCGACCCGTCGCGGCGAAATGGAAATGGATAACGGCCGAATTGCGGGGCGAACCGTGTAATTGCATGGTCGACGGACACGAATATCGGGAATCCCGAATTCCGGAGTTTCACGATTACGACGACGCGGGTAGACTTTCAGGTGATTATCACGACGTGAGGCAATCTTTCAATTACATTTATAAAGCAAATCCACCGTACTGAATCAATCGTTAGATTTATATCAATTTACGCAATAGTGTGAATCTTTTTTTATACTGATGCGGCGACGAATTTCAAGTCAGGGACGCTTCGGAGCCGCGGCGGTACGAATCGAAAAACGGAGCTCGTGCGCGCTCAACACGCCTCACGTGAACGGCGATGATTTGCGGGGAGCATAATGGATCGACGTCACGCTAATTGGGCGAGAGGAGTCGAGAGTCGAAATTACTTACGCGCGTGCTCGAGCGAAGAAATCGTGACGGGACGTGTAAGATGAGGTTTGTTAGCGTGCGCCGGGTGTCACGAGATTAGATACTACGGTTTCCTCGGGTTCGGGGCTGCCTTTTGCCGTGCACCCGGGCACAATGGAAAACGACAGTCGCGAGCGCGCGCGGCGAGAGAGCGAATTAAACGAGAGATTTACGGAGCCCGCCGCACGATCTCGTCCTATTAACCCTGGACGTGCTTATGCATTCGATGAAATACGGCGGTACGTAAGCATCGGGCTTGCGTGTGTGTGTATAGGTGTGTGTGTGTATCGCCGATATCCAGCTGTTTCCGAGTGATTCTGCGGCGATAATAAAGTCAGCCTTCGTATTTCGCGGCGGGCTCGACGTGTATTCGCGCGCGCGCGCGCGTTCGTCTTCGTCGTCGCAACGTATTCGGATTTACTTATGGGTGTTTATGCAACGTTTCATCGCGAGAAAGCGCAATTAGTCAACGACACGGGTATTCTCAATCGTTTCTCACCGAGCGTACGGAGGGAAAAGTGTTTCACTGCTGAGAAAAGCGATTGCTCGCTTGACTTTTCTTCTTTTAATAGTCACCTTCAATAAGGAATATATATGGATTACACGTATACAAAATGCATTTCTCATTATATTATCCACTATCAATGATCACACGAAACGGATTATTTGTCACTATTAAAAGTCTCTAATGAGTCGGGCACCTACTCATTATCTGTTATTACCGTAGGAAACTCAACGAATCGCAATCTCTCACCCGTCTCGTCCACCCACCCTCCTTTCTCCTACCCGAAGCAAGCAGCGTTTACTTGAACGCGGGTACGTATTTTTCTGCCTTATCTCGCGATTTACCTCGTTTTCCGCGTGTTAATCGACGAAGGGGGCACGTTACGACTTCAGTAACTAACGTCCGTACGACGATACGGCCGGGTATCCGAGAGAACAAAGCGATTCCTTCGATCGGCGCGCGCTCGCCGGAGACGTCGCCGGCAGGACATTAAATTATTCTCGCATTGTCCGTCCGCGAGGTAAGCCCGGCTGATCGCGCCGACGGCGACATCAATTGCCAATTAATCACTTACTTTTATTCCACACCCCCCCCCCCCCNNNNCCCCCCCCCCCCCTCCTCTCTCTCTTTTTCTCGCACGAGCGAGTCTTACGCAACGTGAAATACGTATTTGTCCAATCAGGGGAGGGGGGGGGGGCAACAGGTGAATAATACTTACAAAGACGCTTCCTTTATCCTCTGCAACGCGAGGAGGGCGGCTGAGGAGGAAACGAAGACGGAATCGGGCGGCTCCATCACGCGCACCGGCACGTCCCTGTCCCGCTCCCTGTCCCGCTGCCTGTCCCTGTCCCGGTCCCGTTCCCTCTCCCGATCCCGCGCCTCCCTCTCCCTGATGCCGAGCTCCCGTTCCTGTTGGCATTCCCTCTCGTTCTCGCGGCTCCTCTCGCGCGGCGCTCGGTCGCGCTCCCGGTTTCTCTCCCGGCCTCGATCGTGATCTCTGTCCCACGCTGTTTCGCCCAGCGACACTGCAAGAAGAAACGGAGGTGCCCGTCATACTCCCTTCGTCGTCACGCACACGGTTTATCTGCGTTCGCGCGTCTGCCGCCGCGACAGTCCGGTCGCCGGCTCGTCCTCTTGAAAAATGAACCGTCGCCGCAGTATTAATATCACTCGGCGGTCGGTACTTGGATCGCGAATCACCGATCGCGCTCGGGTAATCGCCTCGGGTAAATTAGCTTTTTCGTTGGACGTGTACGGATCAAGAATTATGTATGTGTTTGTTGGGCAGTTTTAACTTAAGCTTGCTCTGCGACAACGCTCAATCTCGCGCGATAAGAGGAACGAAAGACGGTATTTTTAATGCAACCTGGGAAATTAATTGTGCCCATCCTCCAGACCTCACCCTTCGGATTTTCCGTCTGTTCCGGTCGTTGCAACGCCGTTTCTGACACACAGTTTAAAGCAATAAAGTCTGTTCGAAAATCTATCGGTGACTTTATTGTTTCGGTAATAACGGAGATTTCGATCATTAAAATTGCACAACTTTCACTGATAAACAAATCTGGATTTTTGGCAACGAAAGCACCGAATTGACTTACACGCCTATAAATGTATAATTTCATAAATATAAATTCTCTTTCTCTCTCTCTCTCTCTCTCTTTTTCTGCGCTTAAGAGGATCTTTCCCAGAGAGAGCGTATAATCTATCTATCTATCTATCTATCTATCTATCTATCATGTTAAGCTACGTCTCACACATATCACTCGCACATCGGCAAAGTAGAATTAATCCGGATGCAGATTCATAACTGCGGAAGTCCGTGGAGCTGCACGCGCGTTGCTAATCCAAACAGGATCCCCACGATAAGGATTCCCGATTTAACGGAAATCCTAACGGGGAACGTAAGTCACTCCGTAACGACGTGCAACGATGTGCTAATACGCGGAAGGATATACCCGTTTAAAGGAGAGAGGCTGTCTTCGCAGATTGGGAACCCATTTCTTAGAACCGGCATCACACCTACTGTCCAACTTGATTACGGTGTTTTCGCGGTAATTACGCGGTATCTTTCGTATCTCACGGGGAGAGAGCGTACGATGTGCCGAGGAAGGTGGGGGAGGGGGGGGGGGGGGTAATTGCTATTATTTCTAGCCGGGGATAAAATTGCGCGTCACGATGTTGCGCGAAGACGCCAAATGCAAAAACGAATAATAATGAGAGCAGCGTATAATTTCTTTCGTGTACGACGTGTGTTTGCTACTTTGTGCGAACGTGCCGTGGTCGTGGCAGTCACGATACCGTGCCCTCGATCCATCAGCGATCGAGGATCGAAGGTCGATGCCGGGCGAGCACGATGCACGAGGCTCATGCAACCTCTCTCGCGAATAAATCAGCGGCGCGCAACGGCTCGTTTTCCTGCCCGCTCGAATCCTTCCCGGGATGTGACGGGCATGTTATAAATCGCCTTATGATTACTTTTGCACAAAGCCGAGATCGCGTCGCGACGTGACGTAAAACACGTTCGTTTATCACCGCCGGCCGCGGCGGATTCGTCCGGCATGTCGGAGTCGAAATGTTCCGTACTCACTTCTACGAATCCCGTCATATTCGAGAGACTCTGCTCAAGTCGAAATTTTCGTTCACATTAAGTCTTCAAGTGGAGAAAACGGCAATATCTTCTTAATTTACGTTAGGTCATTAAATTTCAATTAGTTCGCCAGAAAAGCTTCAGAACAAAATAGTGTTTCCCTAGACGTTCGCTGATTTGTGCTTGCGGCGAAACAACTTGTAGATCCAGCAGAATGATCCAACGAATGGCAATCAGTATTCTTAACAAATCGTTCCGCCGTAAATTTTCTTGCGACAGCATAAAATTTGCTCGCGCCAGCCGACTATTTTCCTCATTTTCCGTGTGTACCTGCCGAGCGGGGAAGCCGTGCGTCTCGGAAAAATCGGCAGCCGCGGCTTATTACCGCGTTACCGTGGAACATCGCGCCGATTCACCTCGCCGTGCCGCGTTTCGGCGACCTCCGCGACCCGTTGACACCGCGCGGCGCTGCGCCGATGCGCCTTGCGCGCTCCTTGCGCGATTTGCGCCGGCCGACAGGCATGCTAAATGCCCGTGACATCGCTGTTACTAATTAATACGCGCTAGCCGCGCGGCCAATACATTCGCGAGATCGAGCGGACGGACGCGGCGAGTCGGCCGTTCCCGGCCGCCGATAATATTTTGACCAACGCGGCCCTTCGTCGTTCCGAGAGAGAGAGAGAGAGAGAGCTCATGAGAGCTCTCGATCGGCTCGGCGCGTAATCGATGTAAAATCGTAATTTGCAGGCTCACCTTGTTACGCGGCTCTCGCCGGCGACGGCTTGTTTGCCGATAAACATGTGATTAGCGCCGGTGTAATTCCGATTACACACCGAAACAACCGCCGGACTCTTTGTGCAACTATTTCCCACGTTCCATTCAATCGTCCGATACGGGGAATTAGAGCCGCATCGTTTGGCGAGTAATCGCGACGGTAATCGGGGGGAACCTCGCGAACAAATTGATCTTTACAGCCGCGTTAAATTACATCATTGTGATTCTACGGCAATTTCAAACGCGCGACCGTCTCCGCGGCTCGCTGGATCTACCAGTTAATGGCCGCGTCGCGGCACGTTTGCATTGCAAATTTCATTTTTAACGTCCCTGTCGTTGATTGATTTTCCAACGTTCACCGCCGCATCGCTCGTACACGTTATCGAGACTGATATTTGTATTTATTCTGTATGCGTTGCGATATTTGTAAGGCTGCAGAAATCACTATTGCAGCAAGAGAAATATATGATGTTCAAGATAAGCAATAGAACAAACGTAGTTGTTTTAGAAGGAACAACGATAAATATAACCGTGAATGTAAACAATGGCTTACTTTCGTCAGATGGTACAAGAAAAAGAAGCTTGGTTAGGCAGAAAGGGAACAACCAAGATGCATTTGGTCGGAGGAAACGGAATTTCCGGTTATGAGAACCATTTGTTCCGCTTCTTTTTAGCCTCTTAAATTTCATCGAAAAAGTATAATAATGTCCTTTGGGATTTTCCTGACTGAAGCACCGACACACCCGGTACGTACAAGCTGCAGGATTTCTCTATCAAGTAGATATTCACGCTAACTGACGGACAGAGATATCAATTTGGAAATTGTAATCATTTCCGCCAGATACCGAGCGATGCTCGAATTGATTCTCGCGCGTATTTTCACCGTGCAAAAGCACTTACGCAATTCTACGCGATCAATAAGATGCAACCTTTGCAGAAAAAAAAATTCAGTATTCCGTCATCCCCTTAAGGGGAGACGGCGCTTCAAGTTCATCATCGGCTTTGGCATCCCCTTAATTTAGAAACCGTTCATCAGTTATGCGTTATCGATCACCGCTGACGGACGAGGCTGTGTCGGTCGAAAAATCCCGCCCGTTCTCCGGGCAGAAGAGTCGCGGGATGAGGTATTCGCGCAACATGTTAACACGAATTATGCTATCACCGTGGAAGAAGAAGCGAGATGCAAATCTCCGCGCGAAAATCTATGCTCGCGCTGATACGTCTAAATTGACTCGAGCCGATCGTACATTCAGGAGTTACGCGACAGCGCGCGGAGTTAGCACGTGGCGCACGCTCGTAAGTTAAGCGGAACGTTCGTGCGGAACGATCGCTTAAGCCGACGCGATATGAAACCTAATGCCTCCCCCTCGTCCTCGTCGCGAACTCGAACAGCCCGACCACAACCACAAGACACGTACCGTGGCTCCTCCGCGCTTCTTGCGACATTACGCGCGCCTTATTACGTCACGTATGCCGATGGACTCGCGTTAAATTCAACCTGGTGCGCGCGTCGCGAGCAGCGCGTCGGTGGAGGACGCTCGACTTCCCGGAGAAATCGGAGGACGCGCACGCGTAATTCAACGACGAAAAAGCGTGCACGCTGGCTGTCGAAATCTGAACAATCTTCTTCCTTTTCTTCGATACACTTCGGAACGTGAACGATAATTAAGTGAGAGGACTCGTTTTCGATAAGTAAATTCTCTCATCTAACTATCGGGCTACACCGAGGGAAACATATCGTTATTTTCGGGGACAACAATATCCCTTTTTCATTTTAACCACGCAAATCGTCGAGAGAACTATTTTTCCAGCAAGTGCGTTACTATAATGTTAGTGACAATAACCTTACGTGCATGTTGCTACTACTATTTTTGTGGTTAAAATAAAAAAGAAAGGATATCGTTGTCCCCGAAAATAACTAGACTTTTCTCTCAGTGTGCGTTCCAAACTGCATCAAAAGAGGAAGTGTCCGAGCCGTTGAAACTCAGCGTGCTCACGCACGCACGCATGTTTTCACGCGCTTTCACGGTCGATTTAGCGTTTCGATTTCCCTCTCTTCTTATCGCAGCCTGAAATCTCGCGGTTGGCCCCCCCCCCTCTCTTTCTCTCTCTCTCTCTCGATCGAGAAGCGCCTCCGAATCGGGGAATCATTACGAATTCAGCTACGGTCGGGCCACGACGTGGTAACGGCGGTATTATTAACCGCAATTTCCGTGCTCCGTACGGGCGTACCGGGTGGCTCCGCTTAATTAGCCGGCCGCTTCGGACACTTTTTCTCCCTCTCCCACCAAGTCTCGTTCCGGACGTCTCGTTAGGGCCATTAACTCCTCTCGTAGCTCTAGTTGAAACCTATGATCTGCAGTATCTAATGGGGCACGCAGTCATCAGAACTCGGAACGATCTGACAGAAACGCCTCGACGCGCCGTTCTTGCTCCTCTCTNTTTTTCCTGACTTCCCCCCCCCCCCCCTCTCACTCTTTCTCTCTCTCTCTCTTTCTCTCTCTCTGTCGTCGCATTTTAGCGGCTACGATGGTGACGTGATTAGTTGCTCGTGTAAAAATACGTATCGGCGTGCGCGTGATTAACGTCATTCGCAGGTTGGGCTGTCGCGAACGCGTTTTAATTATGCCGAGCTGAAAAGGAACCGGCTTCCGGTACGAGGTT